GTATGTGACTGCTGACAGTAGGTGCATGTCGGTGATGTACCCCCTGTCTGCAAGGTTGAAATTGAGGGTTGTGGTTTGGAAAATTTCTTTGTTTGGTAATGGGGCCAAGTCTCCCTGTTGGTATTTGCAGTTGCTCTTTCTCGGGCCTCTAGCTCCTTCTCAATCAACTCAAGCAAGTGTCCCAATTCCCAAACATCTCCTTGTACTTCTCGACTCACTATTATGCACAATTCCTGAGGTAACTTATTGAGTAACATTGAGCATAATAGATTGCCATATGTTTCTGCCTGTACCCCAAGTGATTTCAAAGCTCTGATATGAGATTCTACCGTGTCATAAAGTGTTCTCAGTCCCTTTAAGTTATGTGGAGAAGTAACTGGCTCTAGATTTAACAGAATATCCATGTGTTTATTGATTGCAAGCTGTTTGTTACCAAACCGCTTCTTCAATATTTTGATGGCTTCTTCATAATTTAGAGGGGTTAAGGTTAATCCTGCAATTGCATCTGCTGCTGTTCCTTCCACAAGTGACGAGAGGTAATTAAATTTATCAATACTTGATAGTGTGGGATTGTTGTGAATTGACGACTCAAAAGTATCCCAGAATGTCACCCAAGATGTGGGATCTCCCCGAAATGCCCTAAGATTTAACTTTGGCAACTTTACTGTGGGTATTTTGGTGTAATTATTCATGAAATTTGAAGGGTCAGCTTGTATACTGTTGTCACCATGGTTACTGGCAGTTTCTGAATTATTCCCTGTTATGGATGTAGTGGGTTGCGTAGGGGTAACTGGGGTTATGACATTGTTTTCAGTATTCAATTGTGTAGTACTTGATTTCTCATATTCATCTAAGCCATTTGTACTTCAATAATAACAGACTCGATTTTCTCTCGTGAAATATCCCCTTGCTCAATCTCTAACTCTATGTCCTCTACACTTACCAGCGCCAAAATAGCTTCATCTTGCTCTCGGAGTGATTTCAACTTCGCTTCGAGTGTTGACTTTTGTTGTTTTAACTTCGCAATATGCGGAGTTAACTGCGATTTCTCCGCCACACTCATAAGAGTTTCGCCTATAGACGCCATAATTCGTTTCGCTGAGGTTCTATGTCCGTTTCGACATCTTTTCTTTCGAGTCAACTCTTCTTTTTCGGCCATTGTTCAGGATTTATGTATCAGAATCTTTTCAATATGGCGGCTCAAATTCAGATGTATAAACTCACGTATTATTTTGTAATATCCGGCTCGGAAGGACCATTTAAAATACTTTAGATTAAACTCTCAAAGGACTCCTTTCTCCAAGGTTCAAGGCTCAACTCATGCGTGGTTCAGACTCATTAAAATATAAATAACACAAACTTTATTACAAAACGCTGCCATATGAAAACTCTACGCTCGTCTCATTAGTATTCCATGTGTTCACAAAATAAACGTCATAGAATATTACGCAATCTCTGACAACGAGTACGACTACGAGTACGAGATTTGATCGCGTGCGAGGAAATTACCGTAGTCGTTTTCGTTTCCATTCAAATGTTGCTTTTATAACAGTAAACCAACAACTAGAGAAAAAGTTTCATAAAGTAAATCTCCTGCCGACTAAATCCCCTACAAAACGTGTAAATAAGTCATAACATTAAAAACAGGCCAGATATTTGCCAATATCGCTATAGCCTATATAAACGCTATAGCCTATATAAATGCTACAAATTATTTTTGGAAAACAAAAAAAGTCAACTTTCTTTGTTTTTTTTTGAAAAGTCGTCGTGAGGACTACGAGGTTTCTCCACAATTTCGTACTCAGATGGGCGACGGCTACGACTTTTTAGCGTCAGTACGGGATGGCGTAAGCATACAGCATGCGTTTAGCTTGACGAATCTCGTACTCGTAGTCGTACTCGTAGTCAAATCTAAAGCTCCCTAATAAAATAAAGCGACTGCTACGCAGGCTATAATGTTTCCTTTGTCGGCATCCATTTTGCCACGTCTTGCTGACGTAATAACTAAATAAGTGATACCGACAAAGGAAAAAGGTCGCTTCGCGCGAGAAAATTCGCTATGGTCTAGGACCTGTATATGAGTTTGTATGCATTTCATTTAGGACAGATAATCTCAACTGTTTTAGGGCAAGTTGACCATGACGGTCGGCATGGTAACGCTGTCCGAACCTCAATCCGGGGCGAAACGTCCGAAACTGACCACACCCAAAAACGACGCTCTCGCCATAGTGCTATCTACCAAACCATAAAAGCTCTGGCTATTCTGAGGTGCTTATATGGTTCAGAGATGGTGCTTTTAGGGCCGTGATCATTGGTAAGTGTGAAATGCCTAGCACTAATATTTCACAAGAAAATGACCATGCAATACTCATAGTTAAACGTCAATTTGTGACTTACAAATTCAGATAAACAGCAGTGGACCTACATTACCTTTTTTCCTAAATGTTTTTTATAGAAACATAATTGGTACTTATTTAAGTATATTATCACTGCTTTGCTGTAAAATAGTTAGTACTTTGTGACCGAAATAACAATTTGAAATGTACCTACCTCCTGCAAATGGACGTATTTGGCCAAATTCTCCACTTTACTCCGCTGTTTATCTTCAATCTCGTTGAAATCCTTCCAAATATGTACGGTAGCTCAGACATATTGGTATCAAGCACATTTTAAATAAGATTTAAATAGGTTTCAAACAGATCCTAGCTGTTTAACCATGGACAAGGTAAAACCGCATGATTTGTACGGAATGTTTTGAAAGACTCGTAAGCAATATTTTTACGGGGTGATAAAATGCTACATTTCTTATATCTTGTTTACATATTTATCTTGATACCCTTAACAAAGGGTTCAATTTGTTATTAGTGGAATAAAAATGGCTTGGATGGAAGAACAACAAGGCCGAATTGTTGACAACCGACATGGGATGACAAAATGGCGCCGAATTGGACAAAGTTGTGGTTCACCTTGTCGATGGTTAAACAGCTAGGATCTGCTTGAAACCTATTTAAAACTTGTTTAAAATGTGCTTGGTACCACTATGTCTGAGCTAGCTGCTGTACATATTTGGAAGGATTTCAACGAGATTGGCGATAAACAGCGGAGTAAAGTGGAGAATTTGGCCAAATACGACCATTTGCAGGTGGTATGTACATTTCAAATTATTATTTCGGTCACAAAGTATTAACTATTTTACAGCAAAGCAGTGATAGTATACTTAAATAAGTACTAATTATGTTTCTATAAAAGAGATTTAGGAAAAAAGGTAATGTAGGTCAACTGCTGTTTATCTGAATTTGTAAGTCACAAATTGACGTTTGACTACGAGTATTGCATGGTCATTTTCTTGTGAAATATCAGTCGGCTAGGCGTTTCACACTTACCAATGACCACCCCTAAAAGCACCATCTCTGAACCATATAAGCACTTCAGAATAGCCAAAGCTTTTATGGTTTGGTAGATAGCACTATGGCAAGAGCGTCGTTTTTGGGTGTGGTCAGTTTCGGACGTTTCGCCCCGGATTGGGGTTCTGGCAGCGTTACCATGTCGACCGTCATGGTCAACTTGCCCTAAAACAGTTTATCTGTCCTAAATTAAATGCATGCAAACTCAAGAGATTATCTGTCCTAAAATAAATGCATACAAACTCACATACAGGTCCTAGACTACTAGTGGAAAACCGGTTTAAATGTTGAGTGTCGGAAACACTGATCGGAAATGTGATGAAAACGCGCAACTGCATTCAAATCTCGAAGGGGGGGGGGGGGACACTGGCACTCTCACATCTGGGAAGTAGTTTTCATTTAGTTCAGGAGTCAAGGCACTCTAACTCCCTGGTTTATGCATTGACTATTACAAGAAATAGGTAGGATAGGGTGTATATTTATTATATCATATAAACATCAAAATTTCCAAACAAACGTAATATATTCGACGTTCGTTTTTCTGAATAAGATATATCATTCATACCTGAGATATACCTTTTGAACTCCAAAGCAACATTTAGCTATATAAGGCAGATTTCATGAGTCAAAAAGGGTACATTCTGGTGTTTTCAAAAAAGTGGAGGGCACAGTGCCCCCCCCCCCCTGTTCCGCGGCCTTTGATCAGTGCAGAAAGTGCCAATCAGGAATGCAACTACCTGAAAAATATAAGGAGAATTTCGAAGTAAATCTTAGGTCACTCGGTATAACAATAACATCAATAATTTCTATTTTATAAGTGTATTTTATCCTAAACGCCTATCTATTGTTTCATGGGCATCATTTGCAGCGGTTTTGTCCTTCAGTTATAAAATTTTATGGCAAATTTAAATATTCTTTATAATGAGTTACCAATTTTATATTCTTTATAATGAGTTCATTGAGTTGTCATATCTTTATAATGACTTATATGTTTATATTCTTTATAATGAGTTATTTGTAATGAATTTATTATCAATATTTATACTCTTTATTATAACGAGTTCTCATTCCAGGTTACTTATAGTTCAATGGGAAGCAGTTGCCCATTTGTCTTTCCCAGTGGTCTCCCCTTTTCTCCCACTGAGCTATTTTATCCATTGAATAACTAAAAAAATAACTAAAAATAACTAAAAAATAACTTGTTCAATGATTTTATCACCCCCCCACACACACACACCCCCTGGTCTTTTTGGTGTCTAGACCTCCAAGTATTTTGCTCGGTTCCCGCCAAATCACTCTCGTTTGGCCAATGAGGTTGTCGTTCGGCGTGAGAGCTTAAAAGCATGGTCGGTTAGCTGTTTGAAAATATTTAGTGTTAAAAGTTCGTCGCAAATTCATTGTCGTTCACTTATATTTACCTGTATTTATCTTCCAAGTTACCGAAACGTAAGTATCTTAACCCCATGGCCTCCTATAAAATAAATTTAGTTACTTAAAATTGATTTAAATATACATATTTTGCGTCGTTTGCAAATCAAAACATGTAAATATTTTCAAAATTTTGTTTACAAATATATCAATAATTTTTCTTTGCAGGTTTATTTTAAATCTTCGGTTTGACGTGCACAACCATGGAGGTAAGACACATCGTATTATGTTGAATTAAAACCATATGTATGCTTAAAAATATTTTTATTTTGAGTCACCTCGTGCGATATACTAGGACTTGATGGTCAATTGAAATATGCGACTCCCCATAGAGCTGTCCTGTATAGACAAATATAACGGGATTTGTTGTAGAATGAGGCAGATTTATAGGGCAGCATAGCACTAACTCTATGGTGTTAAATGTTTCTTGTAATTGTACGAATATCTAGAAAAAAGCAGCGAAGCTGGGTTTTTTTTCAGTTAAATTTACTGTCGTTCCAATTGAAGTGTTGCTGAAATATTGATTCAATACATTACCTCGGGCTGACCAATTCATTTCATCAAGTTCCTCGAGATATTCATACACTTCCTAGTATAATTGTAAACTTCCTGTTGAATAGTTTGAATGCACCAATCACCTTTGGTTGTTTGTACAACTAACCAATCATAAATAGAAAGGAAGTGACCAGAAATGATCAAATACTTGGAATTGGCTCTTTCACAGGAAGTGTATGAATATGTCGAGGAACTTGATCAAATGAATTGGTCAGCCCGAGGTAATGTATTGAATCAATATTTCAGCAACACTTCAATTGGAACGACAGTAAAAAAAAAAAAAAAAAATCAAATGGCCCGTCCCTAACTTGTAGTGGCCTAATGCCCTAAATATTTAAACATATTTAGGGCATTAGGCCACTACAAGTTAGGGACGGGCCATTTGATTTTTCATGGGGGGGGGGGGGGGGCGCAAATCCGAAAAAAAATATCGAGCATGTCGCGAATGGAAGAAAAAAATCGAACATCACTGACACCAGCAAAATAAAATATCGAGCACAAAAAATTTCTAAATTAGCAATACTCTATACTGAAAGAAAAATTCAGTTTCCTTGAGTTTTTTTTTTCTGTTGAGTGTTTCGGTTCCGCCTTGGTTAACAATACCGGAAGTATACATACAAAATACAAACCGATACAAACCAGTTCTGACAACTTTTACTTCAATAATTCAATTATCCACAAATTACCTTAATTTAATGGTATCCCTAAAAACCCCAATCTTAACACTGAAAGTCCCACACTTCTGTTAATATGACATCGATTAATGAGGGTGGGAAAGGGGAGGGGGGGGGGGTATGGTTCACGTTTCACAAAAAAAAAACCGTTTCACAATTCACGTGCCTTAAAAAAGCAATTTCACATTTCACGGATAATGAGACTCTAATAAAAATAATACAATAGCTTTAAGATTATGTTTAATGCATGGTACAGTAAGTTTAAGTTCTCTTCTCTGCCTGGCAGTTAAAAACTACTTACAAGTTTGAGTGACGAGTATGTCTGACGACCTCTGAAAGGCCTCCGAAGTTTCTACTCTTGTACAATCGAGTGAGATCGATCAAATAAATTATTATCGCGTATTATGTCCATTATGACTATTATAAAATAGATCGAAATAAACAAAGCAAAATCACAGTTCACGAAACAGACATCTTTAATTCCCATTTCACGGAGCATTTTTATTGACGATCATGCCTCACGGCTGTAGAACAAATAACATTTCACGACAGTAAAATCAAGCATTTCACACGACACGAACAAATATTGACCATTCACGGCCCACGAAAATACCCTTTCCCACCCTCATTAATATCGCTCTCTGATTCTTAATAAAAATCGCAGTTTATAATACGTATTGGGAACACTGATACGATTGAGAACCGTGAGAATTTGTATATAGATACCATTATGCCAATGCAAAATGGGTTACACACTTACACTTGATCCAATTTTGATCGGGGCTATGGTCTATGTTTCGTAGACCAATGATTTTATTGCAATTAATTAATTGCATGAGATTCAAACATTGGCCAAGTATAAAATGGGCTGTGATAGTTATAGAATAGGAAGGTATACCAGAAGTCTCACTCAAGCAAGTATTTGTCCGCGTTTTTACAAGCGATTCGTCATCAATCACGCCATCCTGGCTAGTACAATCGGCACTTTCACTTTGTACCTACCAAAACCTGATAAAAACTTCCGGCTGTACTAGCCAGGATAGCGTGGATTGGCGTGAGCGAGTTAAAATTTTTGTGGGTTACACTTCTGCTATACTTTCCTATTTTGTGGTTATATGCTGTATATTCAAATACATTCTTCAGCCGGAATATAACCATATATGAATGATGGTTTTATAAAAATACTGAATGCAGGTATTATTGTATTAACGCTATAGTAAAAATTTTACTGTCCACATTTTTGTGGTCCTTCTTGTCCCTTTTCATCAAAATATTATAGGGTTTTACATAAATTGCATTTATATTATTTAAAAATTGACATGCATCACAAATTACAAAGGAATTTACATATCAAAATGATCTATTTCTAATTTTTTCCGAGGGGTCCGACACAGCTGAAATCTCTTACACTCGACTCAGAAATCAACAGAAATCAAACCCGAAATCACGAGAGAAATTAGTAGATTTTGAAATCAGAAATCACTAAAACTTCGTTATTATTGAGCCCACAGTCTTATATGACAGCGGTAACTCACAGAAATCAGGAAATCGGGTTAGGAATCAGGTCAGAAATCACGTTAGAAATCAAGAAATCGCATCGTAAATCAACAGAAATCCGTTTAGAAATCAACAGAAATCAGATTAGAAATCAAGAAATCAGGTTAGAAATCGCGTGATTTCGAAATCTTGTACGCTTCATGTGGCCGTGTTGGACCCCTCGATTTTTCCCCTCGTAATTTTTTAATCTTGTGCATGATGGCCAAATGAGAACGCAGACCTATAAGGCAGCGATTTTTACCCCTCAATACTTCATTTTGCTAAGTCTTTCTAGTGTAAAATATTGAATATTTATCGTTCTATAAGTTAAATCAGACATGGCCTTTGAGGCGCGCGATTGCGCACGCACCTCTGCATGCGCCTTGACTCCTCGAGACGCACCTTTTAACCTGCGCCTTGTTTGTTTTAAGAGTATGATATCGCGCGTCTGGTTTTCTATTATGATGCTTGTGATGTTACTCTGAGTGTACAGCCACACCCGGGCAGGCTTGAAAAATATGCCTGGCCACGGTGGGAATCCTACGACCTTTGGAATACTAGCCCAATGCTCTGCCAACTGAGCTACGCGGTCAGGTCGGTTCGAGTATGTGATAACATGTGGTATGATAACATATGATTTGAGGTAACAGATTATAACCTTCAAAATATTTCAAGCGGTCTTTGTCTGCCACAACCACGCACCAATAGCATGAAAAATAGTTTCATGTATGATGGTGCTAAATTATGGAACTCTATTCCAAGTGAAATCAGGGTAAGCCAATCCCTGTCAAGCTTTCAAAAGAGAATTGCTGCTCACATTTTCTAAATAAAAGACAACTATTAGGTCTACTACTTGTAAATAACTATTCTGCTATTTCTACTATCTAATTTGTACTACTTGTTACTATTTCTCGTTTTTGTAAATAACTATTCTGCTATTTCTACTATCTAATTTGTACTACTTATTACTATTTCTCATATTTGTAAATACCTAACTGTAAATCTTCTTTTACACGCCCCCTGTGGAAATCAGCTTCAGTTGACAGGGTTAGCGTGGGTAAATAAAGTTTTTCTATCTATCTATCTATCTATATTTCGGAACTGAGTCTAGTTCCTTCGATATCAGTGTAATCTAATAATCATGGGGTCGCAAAATTTCGACCATCTAGGGTTAGATTAGGATTAGAGTGGAGTTAGAGGTTAGGGGTTAGAGGTTAGGGTTAGGATCAGGATGGAGTTTCCCCAAAATAAATGATTATCATCTATTTGTGCAATCTCGACAATTGATGCTATTCGTCTATTTATCCCAGAGACTGTGCTGCCTCCACAGAGGCTTCTATGTTCTTTCCCACCTCCACCATGTAAAGTGTAGTGAAATGTATCATGCAACCATAGCCAACAGAAGCCTCTGCGAAGGAGAGAGCTATATAAAGGCCAAATAAAAATGTACTGTATTAAATAGTTTTTGATATTTTGGTTATTGTTCTGATGGTAACAAAAAACAAAAGTGTCAAAAGTGAATATTCACCCAGGGGCATAGGCAACAAGTGGGGGCGGTTTGGTGGGGGCATGGTCCCCTGGAAAATTTAGCTATTTTTAAGGATTTGCGAACCGAAATCCTTTATGTCATCCGGTGTGTAAGATAGATAGGTAAATAGATAGTAACACAAATGATGTTGAGTTCCGAGTCGAGTATTCTCTAGCTATTATCCACCATTTGTGTTTGTCGTTATTTACGATCTTCTGGGCAAAAGCCCCGCTCATTTTCGTAGAATACACCAACGACTAAACATTGTACCACTTACTTTGAGCTAAATGAAGGAATATACAACTGTTTTGTGCTAGAAATACAAATGGAAAAGGTCCTGAAAGACAAGTTCAACTCAGTGGTCCTGATTACAATTCGACTGGGCTTTGTAATCATTTAATTCAAACCAGAGTAGCGAGCGAAAAATTATTGACATACCTGGTTGCAGTGAACTAACAAACTTTAAACCCCTGTTGTTGTTTTATGAGCGGCCTACTGTATTTTTATACAATTTTATTTTGCAGTAGTTACTACGATGGGTTTTATTCTGAAAGCTGAAGTGCACAACTTTACTTGATAAATTGAGGATTGTAGACATCTTCAAACAACCATGCATTAATAATAGACTATGGTCTAATAATCCATGCTACCATTTACATATAATGTCTAGTTCGATCATAAAAGTGTTAACAAAGCGTAACAAAGCCAAGTCATGCATCATGATTGTATCTTGTTGAAAACCAAAATCTAGTCCGTTCATTAGATTTCAAGATGGGATATATCTCGTTTTTATCGTAATTTTAAACAGTCCTAACATTTTAACAAGGGAGCTGTTCCAGAGAGGCATGAACCGCCAGAAAATTTTCATTCTTGTGTCTCTGAAACACGACTTCCAGCGTTTCAAGTAATTACAAGTAGTAATTGTATTACTCAGAATACCATACTGAATATAGGGATAATTACCATTGCTGGTCTGATCTTCAAAAATTAAATAGAAATAAATTGGAATAACTGTAATACTATCTGTATTTCAATTATACAATAAATATGTTTCAATTGTGTAATAATGCCAAATCGACAAAAATTTGTTATATCAAAAGTTATTTCTCAATTTGAAATCTTTGGAGGCCCAAAAAACCCAGCTGAAAGTTAATTTAGCAAAAGTTATTCAGTCCCCTGAGCTCCCAACCATCATAGAATAATCAGACATTTCATCATTATACTTGCAGACAACTACATTGTATGGACTTCCCATGGGAAATGTGAATGCGAGTTGGGCCTGGCAGTTTCATAATTACACCTGAATCTCCTTGATTTTCACACGGTTCTATGTCGATCCAAAATCTCAATATAACCGGACCACTTGGCCTGTTTTCCAGCTATTAACAGCATCACTAAATGCCATAAATTATCAAAATTTTAATCTTATGCACTTCATGTTTTGGGGATACTATACATACATAGCTATTATATTCAGCTCACTCCCCAACGGGGCTTTTCACTTTTTCAGTGACCGATTACATCAAGTATTACGTTTACTTATATTATCTGCTTAGTCTACACGGCAAAAAACGCCGAGCCCGCTGCTCAACAGGATTGAACAATGTTTTGCTGCCCACGTTGTTCACACTTGTCAACAGTATTGAACAATACTGTTGAGCCTGAATCGGGTGTAACAATATTGTTCAATATTGTTGACAGCTAGGAACAATGTAGGCAGCGAAACATTGTTCAATCCTGTTTTTATCAGTATTGCATCAACCTGAGCGTTTTTACGCGTGTAGACTAATTATCTTTACAACATTTGTGATATTACTTCCTAAACTGTGTTTACCCTAACCCACCCTGTCAACTTTCCCTGTGAGAGGAAACCGGAGTGCCCGGAGAAAACCCATGACTTTCGGCAGAGCGTTGACTGACTCTTTTCACATGCATGGGCCCGTAGCGAGAATCAAACTCGCGTTCTCAGAGTTGAAACTTGAAAGGCGCTTGCTCTGACGACCAGGCATGTGTGTGGTATTGACTACTATATTAAACAATTCCTTTGCTTCGTCTCTCCCCAGAAAATCAGCGCTCCGTATATCCACATATGTTGGTTGCTTTTCCAGTGTTGTTGTATAAGGTTACATATTCCTGAAATTATACTGTTTTGCTTCATTTGTAGCAACTACATAAATTGCTGGATAGCTTCAAGGACAGCACTGGTGATTTCGCTTGTAGTGGGTTTCTGCCTGAGCTATGTTTACCAGGTTTGGTTATTGAGAATGTCGGACATATCTCACTCCCAGTGCAAGATGAACAAGTCCAGAAGATCATTGAAGTAGCGAAGAAAGCTCCTTTTGGTTTAGGTGCTAAAACATTGGTTGATGAAACTGTGAGAAAAACATGGCAATTGGATCCCAATCAAATTACGATAAAGAATGAACATTTCCTCGCTGGTGTAGAAAATGTTGTTTCTGCTGTGAAGAAACATCTTGGTTGCGACAAGAAAGCAGTTCAAGCTAATCTCTATAAAGTTCTGCTGTATGAGAAAGGTGGACATTTCAAAGCTCACAGAGATACGGAAAAAGAAAACAGAATGTTTGCCACTATGGTCATTCAGTTACCATCGAAGTTTGAAGGTGGCAAGATTACAGTTCGTCATGCAGGCAATGAAAAAGTGATGGTTATGGACGGAGACCGTTCTGCATACTGTTCTAAATATGCTGCTCACTATTCAGATTGTGAGCACGAGGTGAGTGAAATAACCAGTGGTTATAGACTGGCTTTAGTCTATTCGTTATGCTGGACTGCACGTGGTAACCCACCATCTGCAGGTACTGGTGCAGCCATTGTAAGAGATATTGCGAAAGTTTTACCACAAATCTGCACTGGGGATAGAAACCTATTCTCGTGGTTTCTATCTCATAAATACAGCGAATCTGGTTTGTCTGGTTCCGGTATCGATGCGTTGAAAGGAGCTGACGCAGCTGTGGCAAGAGCACTGCAACAAGCAAACGAACTTTTACCAGAAGACCAGCAATTTGAGTTTCACATTGCTGAGGTAAAACGTGAGCTTCAACAGTTTGGAGATTTCTGGGATGAAGATTCCTGGGAAGGTGGGTTTCAACCCAATGGCGATGAAGAAGAAGAAATCGACATTGAAAATTGGTTTGGTTTTGATGGGACACCTTCCAACCCAATAGTTGCTGGTAAGGATCTAGATATTGAAAGCGACGTGGTTAACTTTCAACGGCCAAGAAGTATGTCGGCAAAACATGCCATTCAGCAGTTATGGGGGGAGGCAGATGGCGAAGACAACAGTGGTCCTACTGGTAATGAAGGAGCTACACAGACGTATTGGTATAATAGTTATGCTATCTTCGCTTGGCAGAAAGATAATGAGGTTAACCTTAGATGCAAGGTAAATGGATATCACTCAGCCGTCGTGTGGGTATCTGAGAAGTTAAAGAACCTCCAGAAACAAGATCCTAACAGCCCTGTGTATAAAGATGCGATGTCCGATTTAAAGATGGTGATTGATTATGCAATTTCCAAGAATATTTCAGTGTCAGAAACTGCAGTGTTCGCGATGCTGCACACGTTTTGTAATATTCGCAGTGAAGCTGTTGTGTTGGCAAACCGATTCATTACAGATGTTATGGGAAAGTAAGTGTAATTTTGCTCGTTACTAAGATATTAGGGAGATTAAACAAGCCCACTTTTGTCTACACGAACCTCACGCGTAAACTTATAGAGAAGGCAACAGCTGTTCTTGCCCGATGCGTGAAACTGTATAAATTAACTGCTAGCTCCTTAATTGAGGCTAAATTATGGCGCGCGCGAAGGTATCTCCAAATGACTGTTTCATTTCCACTTTTCGGCATCTCATTAATAGTAACTACTGTAGTTGTGAAATCAGTCATGTCAAGTACATATATTGTATATTCTCATCTAATCCTAGCAGTAAATGATTATCAGATTATAATCGTAGCACTGGTTAAGGATTAATTTATTAAAATTCTACGTATGGCATGTATGAAATGTATAGGTGTCATTGTATAGTTGAATATAGTGCCATGAATCTCTCTGTTTCTTGTTAAGAACGTCGAGTCCGCAATGTCTTGGCGACATCTACATCATCCCGGCTCTTGTTGATGTTACCATTCATCTCGGTTGGCCATCGTTATCAGAGTCCCTGAAGAAGTTGTTTGATCTGAGTCCAGTTTCTCAACATGGAATTTGGGCGAATTTTTTCAAGTCGCTTTTCAAAACAAATGTCAAGAATGTACTCCAGAAAGATGCTTGTTTCAATGCCATGGTTACGCGTTTAGCTGAGAAAGTTGAAGTTGATGCTCAAAATAACCATCTCGAAGCTCCTGACACAAAGAACCGAGTTGAAGAAATTGCTTCCCTTCTGTTTGTCATTGGCGATGTCGATAGCGTTGCGAAGTTCACAAATGCCATTCAAGCGTACTGTCAACAGTCACCCAAGAGTTCCCTACTACAAAATCTGATTCAATATTTAGGAAAGGACAATTTAAGTGGCAACCAATTTTGGAATCAACTATTGAATCTTAGGATTGCCCAATTGGAGGATGTCGAGAAAGTCGGAGTTCCCCCTTTCACCTGGAATCAAGATGATGCTATTCTCGCTGATCACCCGCAAATTCAAACATTTTTAAGAGGTCCAAATAAAACCATAAAATATCATGCGTTCACGAGTATCGCTCAAGCTCGAAAGTTTGCCAACACTTACTTTGGTTTTGTGTCAAGTTGGGGTTGGTTAGGACGGAATACACCATCTCATTCATACACTGCGAGGGCTACAGCTGCTGGTGCTGGACGGAATGCGCATGTAGTGATTGAGAAAACAACAGAATGGTACGACAAAAAGATCGCCCCTGCTAAACAAAAGTTGGAAGAATTAAAGAAGCTGCGAAGTATGGTAAACCGTGCTTCTTCAAGTTCCACCGAAACACAGCCACTGGAACCACAAGCAAAGAAAAGAGCCGTAGACGTTCTGTGCGTAGACTAAACATTTACGGAATAGACTGACTACGAATGTTGAATATAGTTTTATACTTTAACTCCATTTACTTTAACTTTTGGGGACGTTTAGTTAGTTGTGTTTTGTTATGTTTTTCAAGACTTGTTACCGAATTGTGGAGCAATGAATTTATTGACATTTGGGATATTTACTACATTTCTATTTATCCCGCTTGAACGGGAGAAACAGGCTGTTAGTTATGGATGATCTAATGTTTGAAATTTTGTCATGTTGCGCATATTTAACCCCGGATGGGGTTTTATTAAGCTTAGTTTAGACGAGCAAATTTGCAAACTGATTTGGCTTTATATTTTAAGCCTTGTTATAAGGGGCCGATTACATGGACTGGGCTAGTGCTAGTAAGTAGTAAACCGGGCTGAAATAAACTCACTAAACCTCGTTAGATTATATTTTTTAGCAGTTGAATAATCGTTGCTAGATATTCATTAGAGACTGTAAATTCAGTACTGTAAAATGTAGGCTTCACTGTCTGAACCTTTAAGCGTTTATCGAAACACAAAAACAACATTTTGATGCCGTTTGAGTTTTTTTAATGTTATTTGTTTCCTTTTCGATATAAAAACCGTGCGTTGACACCTGGGATGAAACGAATACATGGAAAATTTCATTCCGGCAAACTGCCATCTTGCGACAAACGAGACATCGGCAAAGCGGGCTAGCCCGTCTCCCATGTAATCAAAATTTATATAAGATTATTATAGTGCAGCCATGTAATCGGCCCCTAAATTATCAACAAGTGCATTTGACAAATTGCTGGCATAAACTGTCCGAGTTTTTATGTTCGGGCTTATAATACAGTATATCAACTGTCATCTTTCATTGTATCAGTTTTATTGTTCTCGTTGTTACAAGTGGAAATTAAGAATTAGAATTTCATCGTAGCTTGTAAAATAGGATAAAAAGATATAAACCACACGAGGTGTGTTGGTATAGACATGATATTGTTTGTCAAATAAAATGCGCTCGTATAAACTATGCTTTGCCCTGTATACATACCATTTTGGAGTAGGTTTTTAGGGCTGTTTAAAATTACACATTGTGAAAAAAAAACTTAAAAGATGTAGTGTTTATATATTTTTGTGTGTTTTTTCTGTTTCATTTTTAGAACTTTATAGTACATTATTGAGCTACCACCGAAAAGTAGGGGGACCACCGAAAGGGAGGGGTACATAGACTTTTACAAAGGTCTTTTCAGAGACGTCATTTTTATTTTGCGCGGTCCTTCACAACCAATGCAACAAGCGATACTTGTAAATCATTTTATTTCTTTACAAATTCATTTTGTTACATATAATGAAAAAAATAAGTTCATGGTGTTAGCTACAGTAAAAAATTCCGCGTTAAACGCGATTTTCCCAATTACCTTGAGGTCGCAATTTCCCAATTTGGGTCAGCCAAAAAATAGTTATAGAAATTCAATGTTGTTAATACGCCATTAAAAACATGTTTATAACTACATTTGCTCAAAATTACTCCCAAAATGCGGGAAATGCCATTTCAAAGACACAACAATTTTAAAAATCGAGAGGGGGCAACCGCATGCCCCAGACCCACAAAGAAATGCCCGGCTTCAGGCTAAAATAAATTTCCCAATTTCAGGTAAACGCGGATTTTTTTACTTCTGGCTAACACCCTGAAGTCTCTTATATACTGTTTAGCAATGGCTATCGTTCCAGCTTTCTGTTGTCCTACCTTTTATTAATTACAAAATAATTAGATTATAATAGACAATTCCCATTATAGACTAATTTTAAAACTAGGCAACGAGATGCTAGAAAGAGCATACTAAAATGAGTAAATTTGCAAAGTTTGGTTGTAAAATGCGGAAAATATAGCCTTGCAAATTTTGTATACTTTTGTATTGCGTGCGGAAATTGTTACCATTTTCGGCCCAAATGTGCAGGAATGTGGTAGGAATTTCCGCACGCAATACAAAAGTATACAAAATTTGTGAACTTTGCAAGGCTATATTTTCCTCATTTTCCAACATTTCGCAACCAAACTTTGTAATTTTACTAATTTTAGTATGCTCTTTCTAGCTGTGGTGATTTATTTGTATCTCCTAGTTTTAAAATTGGTCTATAATGGGAATTGTCTATTGGTACTGCAGTATTCGTTGGCAACTGTCAAAATTCAAAATTCTTTTTCACAACAAGTGCAGAAGCAAAAATCCTTTCCTTGGTCATGGACGGCAGTTTTCTCCAATAATTTGATACAAAATTGAAGCAATCTACTGATTTTACCTCGTCCTTTGCACCATCAAGTACAACAAGCGTGTTTTCGTGATAAACAGCGGAACAGAAAACTCGCTCCTTTTTCATATTTAATCGAACCTTACTCTGGCCAGTTCTAATATCACACTCGATAATCTCGTTGCTGACGTTCTGTTCTTTGTCCGTCCCTCCAATTAAAAACATGCTATCACCACGACGAACTGTCGCCATACCAAAAAGAGGAGATGGTAGTGGTTGCATTTGAGAACATTCATTTCTTGTTATGTCGAATATTTCCACATTTGTTTCCGCTTCATCTCCACCAGCGATCAAAACCTTATCATCAAACAACTCCACCCCATGGAACGCTCGCTTCTTCTTCATGTGACAAAGCAACTTGGATGAATAAGGTGGAACAAGAAGCAACTGGTATATCGTATTTAAAATTTCATTTTCCTTGGGTTGACCACCAATAATCAGCAAACGATTCCCATAGACAACACACTTGTGACCAGCAACCTTGATGGGAAGATTGACAGAAAACTCCTGCCATGTCGGAGGATTACCATTCATATCCAATACTTCTATGCTATCTGTGAAGTCATCAGAATTGGTGCTAGAAGATCCACCACAAACAAGTATTTGATTCTCAAACAGCACGGCTGCATGACAACCTCGAGCTATTTTCAAGTCAGCCAGTGGTGTCCAGGTTTGGTTGAACAGGTTAAATCGCTCGACGGAAGAAAGAGGCTTGTTTGTTTCGGGGTGCCAACCTGCGATGACAACAATATCACTATTCTTAGAGTTTACTACGTTTTGAAACGACTCTTTCAGATGTTCCATCGCGATTGTCATTCGTTGCATGCCTTCTCTCACTTCATTCATCATTTCATTTTGTGTGGTTTTCACTTCTGCTAGATCTTTCTTCATTTTGTCTACATCACGTCGTAATACACAGCCGTGGCCGCCATATTTATGATGAGACATCTTTTCGCCACAATCGTCACAGGTCGTTGTCTTGAACTGACATAACTCGCGCTCATGATGCTTTACATCGCGTTTACTCACTACCTCATCACAACCCTGGTTTGAACAAGAGACGGGCATGAAATCACAGTCCTGAACGTGAATCTTTAGAGCTCCAAGCTCTAGAACTGCTTCACAGCCTCTCGCTGCATGATTACAACTTATCTTCAAACGTGACACATAATCTGCGACAATTCGCGGCGCCTTACGCAGTGTTTCTACAGTCAGTTTATCTTGACAGACAGGACAGCTGAGCGAGGTCTTTTCCAAGTGTTTCTTGATACAGCCAGAACAAAAATAATGCTCGTTGTTCTGGCATTGCATTGGATCTTGTAAAACACCAAGACAGATAGGACACGTAAAGCCATCATCAACAGCTGATTGAAAGCGTGTTGTGTCGAAACCCTCAGCCATATTCTTCACGATCAAGTCACATCTTGTTACACAACCAGAAGAAACATATCTTAACTAACAGATGTTCCATTTACTTAGTTAAAGACGAAATATAGCGACACAAGTTCGTTACAAATTACGCCCTCTTATTCGAGACCGACGCTTAACTTTTTACTAGGAACTGGTTCTCCAGGAAATGCAAATTTCAAAATCATTGTCAACTCTCATGCTGTTTGATCGTGGCTTAACTGAAACTGGAAGCATTAAATATACTGTATGCATGTCAAGATGTTGAACTGTTCAATCATTATTTGTGTTTCATTTATAGCCAACAAAAGAACTGTCATCAAATCGTTTTTTGTAACAGTGATATTAACTGTAAAGCGAAATAAAGAAATGTACACTTATAAGAGGTTATTTAAAGCGAGTCAACCATGCGGAATCTAATTGTTTTTTAGCAAGTTTTGCATAATATTTATTCAAATGATGATTAAATATTGAACAGTTGAATACTTTCATATGCATATTCTAATTCCAGTCTGAGGTTCATGTTATGGTTCGACTGCCATTTAACCCAACGTAGAACGCGTCATTTGGATGCGCAGTCGAGACACTGATTATTTTATTTTAGTCATAAGATGGTAAAAGAAATTTATTGGTTTTAATTAAATGTACAAATACATATGAAAAGCAAACCAAAAGGTAAAGACGCAACGGGACAAAAGTACCCATGCTAGGCGCCTTCCCGTTATCACAAGCTAAATACTAACATTTTCATACAACAAATCTAAAGATTATAATAAATGCAACAATATTACGTCAATGTCAACGAACACCGCGGAAAAACGTCTGCGCATGCGTCAACCTTACCTGTAATAGTATTGCGAACTTGATGAAAAGCTGTTCCGAACGTTTCCGAAGGCTCAAAATGGCGGTAAAAAGGAGTGACTTCATTGTACGTCTTTACAGCCAGATTTCGATTGCAAAAATAAACATGTCATTCTAAAAACTAGGAATAAATACAGCCAGAAGGTTCAAGAAATTGTATTGTACAAGAACATGAACTAAAGGTGATTGTTGACAAATTTATCGTCTGAAACATTTTGTTTATCAACTAAGCAACGACAATTTCCGAATTTTCGTTTGAGATACATTTCTTTAAAAAAAACTATGTTGCCAAATATCAAAAATTTTCGTGTTCACAATAATTAAACTATAGGATTTATTCTACAATTTGAGTGGGTTAAGAAGCTTAACTTTTCGAGAGTTTTCTTAAGTTTTGAGTTTGAATTTTTGTTTTGAATAATTTTGCAAAAATTTTGCAAAAATTTTCGAAGTCGTGTCCGTTAAAATCAACAATTTTTTACATGAATTATATTTCATTCCATACTTTAAATGCCAGGACGCTTTCAATTAATGCCTAGTCGACCCATTTGCTATATTTTCTCGTTTGTTTTACTAATCTTTGACCAATTAATAAGCATGTTTTTGTTTTAGAAATTGATATTCAAATTCCCCGCCATATTTTCATAATTTGGTGCATGCGCAGACGTCAGTTTCCGCGGTGTTATGTCAACGATTGTCACAAGATAATGTCCATGTGCTCCGTGTGTCGATTTCGAAATTGGTATTAAATAGGATTAGGTATCTTTGATTGATCAGGTGTTTGAAGGAGTGCGGGATATTTGAAAAACTCTGAACGGGGGCTGTGTTATGGATCATGACTTTTTATACAATTCTTCAGCAGAATCATAAAGAAGATTTAATCACGGTTAACCGTGATTTAATTAATAACGGCCATTTAGCTTACCGGTACTTCTTAGTGATTTTCACTCTCAAGACTTGAATCTAACCAGCCTCAATCTGCGATAGTGCTATCTACCGCCATATGCGTGATTGAGTTCTAATTGATTATAAGTGATTATTTTTAATTTCTTTTAGTGAATAGATTTAATTTCCTTTCGAAATTGCTCCTCTTCTTTCGGTATTGTATAAAATATACTGATATAAAAATATTTCGATCCGGAGGAGCCGAGAACATTCAAATCTGTGTGTGTCAAGTGCTGCACAACTCGTTCTCTCCACATCTTGGTGTGAGATTTTATTGTTAGTACTGTGTACTGTTGTTGTTAGAACGTTTACGTTTATTTTAATTTATTTTTGGGATACCGTTATTGGAGAGTTTGTTTCTGTGGTCAGTCCCTGCCGTCGCGTATTTACTTGCCATGATGTTATAAATGTATGTTTGTATATAAATAAATAAAAAATAACCACTTCAGAATATAAATATTAAATAATATAAATATATTAATTTATAATAATTTTTCAGTAATATATACATATCTATATTTTGTCCTCGAGTGTATTACTTATTTGTATATCATTCAATACCATGCATGTCTGTAGTTAACGTGTGTGTCGTCTCCGCGATGATTTAGCTGCGCACGCAGTGTTTAAAAAGAGTTCGCTATCTGCAATATTTAGCCACTGAAAACATAAATCATCACGATTTAATGAGTGTTTTCTTCTTCGCACTGCTTGAGCGACGAATGCAGCGTTTAAAAAGAGATCCTTTTCTGAAGTATCTAACCATTGTCGACATTGAAATCCAAAACTATTTTCACCAAGACCGCAGTATTGTTTGTTAAAATTTTGGAATCGAGATGAACTTTCTCCATTTATACATATGTGTTTATCATCACCAGAACTTTTCTGAATGACATCTTTGATTTTTTCCGAATGTACGTCTGTAAGGCTGTCTTTGCAATCTTTCTCTTCAAGAAAGCCCGTTCCACTGTCCATGTCTGTGTGTTTTATCAATGTTTTAGGACAGATCAAGCTTCTACCACACACTAGTGGATCATTGTTGTGACAGTGCGTCTCTTCATTGCACTTGAGAAGATACGTTTTACGTAAACTAGGTAACGTCTGTAGTATCTGTGGCATTTTGAGTTCTTCTTGTATAACAGAAGTAAGCTTGTATGTTTGATGTATGATCGTTCTTCATCCATTATATAGATGTCAAGATACTTCCTCTATACGTGATGTTATTCATGTCATGCGGATATTCAGCGTCACTCGAAATTTCCACATAATTGCATGTTATTAATAAGTTCCTCCTTTGAAGTCTTTGATCTGTTTGATTTCACATAACTTGCATATTTAAAGAAGGGGGAGTTAGTATAGAGACGGTATAGAGTTACTGCAGAGAACGATAAGTGAAAAAAATGTAAAGCCTAAAGGTCTAGAAAGTAGAGTCCAAAACTTGAAATATAATTGCATGTTATTAAAAGTTCCTCCTTTGATCTCTTTGATCTGTTTGATTTCACATAACTTGAATATTTAAAGAAGGGGGTGTTAGTATAGAGACAGTATAGAGTTACTGCAGAGAACGATAAATGAAAAAAATGTAAAGTCCAAAACTTGAAATTGTAAAATTTTGAGTAAAAACCAGATGTATTGAAAACCAGAGTTGAAACGATGTGTTGTTAATTAACATAATTTTGATAATTGATATAACAAGTTCAGAAATGTTCAGTTCGTCATGATAGACACGTCAGATATATGGTGGCAAAGCTGCATAAGACACTGGACTGGAGTGTTTGACGTAACTTACATCACGCACACACACCTTAGTTTTCTTGGCGGGAAAGAATTTGACTGACGTGCCACCATAGTGACTTTAAGATTGACGTTTAATCAAGGCAGAGGTCAATATGCCGGCGGTCTGCCGTAAACGTAACTTAAAACGTCAATCCAGATCTCTACTGATATGACTTTCGCAACACAAAATACAAATTGCAGATACTGGTGTGCATAATAACATCACCCTAAGCACCACTAAGTCTAAGAGCTTTAATCATGAGAGACGCCAGTCGATATGACGCCGGCGAGATATGATATACGGATGTGGGCTCAGGATTTTTGGCGGCAAAAGCTCTAGCGTCAGAGTAACTCTGTATTATAACTTCTGCAGCACAAATTGAAGTAGGGCTAATGTTAAACGTACAATTTAGAGGTACATCAAAAAATATATTCCGCATACTAAAACATCATCGATAATTAATTACCACCATTAATGAATAATGGCATTATGCAAGCAGCAGTGGTCCGTAGTAGCAGTGGTCCGGATTGTAGGCTACAATTTACTCAAAATATAATATTAAAATTCTTGAATGGTGCAATTCGCCTTTCTTACGAAGGTCATAATCCGCCATTTTGGGGGTACTGTCTGCCCTCCTGAAAGATTCTAGACAATTCAAACACTGACGTGGAAAGTGACTTTTAAAAGTTGTAACTGTAAATTTACCATTATACAAACAACTACAAAACTAAAAAGTTATATTTCGTGGTACTGTTTCTCCCACGTTTGAGTCTCCGCACCCCAAAAATGGCGGGAAAATCCGCCATGAGTGAGAAAGGCTAATTGGTAAAAAGGTATGCCATCTTAAAATTAAATCTGGAGGCATTCTGCTCTATCCTAGAAAATTGAAGTAGGACGTTCTGAAGCGCATGTGTTAAATATGTTAAAATCAAATATGCATGTTACAAGTAATAGATAGATAAACTTTCAGAAGATTAATAAATAAATCTGAACTAATTCTAGAGTCAGGATAGCTTTATACGCTATACACATGCAAAATATATTGAAGCGTCATGCGTTTGATTTCAGACCAAGTTGCACTCCATATTCAGTTCAATTATCATCATTGATTATTAACCGAGAAAGGAAGACATAATGATCGTAAATCCTTGAACTTTAACCTACTGTTTTATTCATCTTGCTCATGCTAGACTCGTGTCCTGAGGTTGTAGTCAGGAAGGGGTGATCATGATCAAAGAGCATTCGTATAAGATAGTCATAAAAGATGCAGAAAATATACATTCTCGAACATTCTTCGCATGCCTGCACGTGAGCTGCATGAAAGAGTCAGCAACATCAACATCACTCGCGAACCGTTGTATGTAATGACGTCATTTTGGACGGCAGGAAATAACATAACAATGCCGCAATTTGAAATGTTTAAAATTGAATGTCGTAGATACAAAAGCAGGTTGTTCAAAAGCCGGTTAGCGCTAACCCTGGGTTAAAGTTAACCAGCTTTTGAACAACCTTGCCCTTGGCTCTCTCTTTTTTGTTTAATATTGTTTTGCTCCTGCTGTAGTGTGTATATAGCCGCTGTGTGATGTCTCAACTTGGCTCACCTAGACCTCTTGTGGCAATGAAGTCACTATAATTAGATAAATCAGCGTAAAGTAAATTAGGCCAGGCCTACGCTTAAAAAACACCTATGATTGCAGCAATATAGATAATAAGGGATGGTTGAAGCAGAATATTTTTACTTCAAAATTCAATATTCTTAATACCTGCACAAAATAATCCTATCTTCATTATTCCAAAAATACCTGGCGAGCGGGGGAAAATATCCCTTCCAATTTTGTTTCAATATTCCTACTTTGAATATTCAAAACATATATTCCTAACCCTCAATATTCCTATCCCAAATATTCATATTTCCACCATAAATATTCAAAAGCTAATAGCTTATGCGAATTATTGTATTGAAAACAATGTAGTTTTATCTTTAGTTGCGGTTTTGGGTGGTAGCTAATTTAAGAACTTACAGAAGTGCATATCTTGAAGAATGCAGAAAGCGATCAACAAATTAATGAAATATATTTACAAATTCAGACACTCTTTACTTCAGCATAGCTTAGTGCATATAGGAAACTGTGTGTTTGTCAATGAGTTTAGGGGTTCAAGTATACAAAGCTAGGTATCTATATCAACGATGGGCACAACTGTTTCAATTATCTCGTCATTTTAACGTTTGCCGTCCACGGTGCTTGTCTTTGTCTGAACCTAAACCATCGTGTTCAAACGATAAGGATGAATTAAATCAGATTAAGATTTCTTAAAACTAAACTATTCCCAAGATCTACGACCATATTGTGTTTGTTACGATCACCAGATAATTAGATGAACGTCACATATGAGGTCGATATTGATTTTGCTCAATGACCATTACGCTGTCTTGAACAATTGTCAGGGCAGAGGTATATTCTTATTTTTCTTCTTCTTAAAAGAACAATAAATAAAATACAGTTTATATATAGGAATACACATTAAACAAGAGTGTTTCTCAAGTTCATTTCGCCATGCAGTATGTCTGTGATGATGTTATTCATGTCCACAAGCCTCTGAAGTAAGAAAACAATCTTGAACTAATTGCCAACAAACATTGAATGTTTTCCAAATTCATTATATTTGTGATTAAAGAGTCTTTCTTTTAAATAATCCGAAAAATCTCGAACAAATTGACATGAAACATAAACAAAATACAGTTTATATTAATAGAGATTAAAGAGTGTTTTACAAGTTCATTTCTTGAGTATGTGAAGAATAAGAACAATCTTGAACCACTTGACATGAAACATTGAATGTTTTCCAAGTTCATTTCTCTATGCAGTATATCTGTGATGATGTTAACAAGCCTGTCCTTCAAGTAATACGATCAATCTTGAACTATTTGACAATAAACATTGAGTGTTTTCCATGTTCATTATAGGTCCACTCTGTAACTAACAAGACTGTGCAGAAATACGAATAGTTTATCAGGAACGTCAACAACTGAGAGTCAAGTTCGACAGTTTTAATTTTATGCGATCAGCCATCGCGTATCGATCATGATCACTGATCTATACTATTAGATCAGTGGTCATGATCGAATTTGGCGGTTTGTTGACGTTTCTGACCGCGCCTAAATGTCAAAATATTAAATTGTAATTTGTAAAAAATGCTGTAAACATTGGTTTTCAACGTAAATTGTAAAAATGCTGTAAATATTGGATGTTTTCCAAGTTGTGCAGTAATACGAACAATCTTGAACTAATCGACATTGTACATGAGTGACTGAGGTTAACAAGCTTGGCCTTTATCGTCGTCTTTATCGTTATCAACATCACGTGGATCTGGTGGCAAAGTGTTGACGTCATAAACAAACGTCTTCGTGACATCACTTCCATCTTCAAACACTGAACTGCCAACAGGTGTAGTTCCAAATTCATTTCCTTGACGTAGACAGAAGATGACTGGGTCAATTGATCCGGTAGCACCAATTACAACATGGTTGTTAATAACACTGAACACCTGAGGTGCTATTGGTTGATCTGATGTGAACGACGCAAGATTTCTCCCACTTTCTAGTTCATGAACAAAGAAATTAGGACCTTGCATATCTTTCCAGAAGACCAAACGTTGATCAACACTAGGTTTGATTTCGTTGACCTGTGCGACAGTGATAATTTCTTTAACACATTCTCCACTTTTTATATCCCACACAAATACTCCGTTCTTCGAGCCAGCAAAAGATGTTAGAGCAATGTTTTTGTCTTCTATGATCGCGCTTGAGAAAATAGCTCCTGGTTGTTGTTCGCTTGATAGTGAATGTAATTTTCTTCCTGCAGTTACATCCCAGAGTATTGCACTGGTGTAATCATTTACATTTACCATGTAGCGACCGCTGTGCGAGATGCTTCCATTGATTGACCATCCAGCAGCTTCGAATTTCAGTTGTTGCTCATTCTCCCGAATCTCGTGTTGTTTTCCCGTGGAGAAATCATAAACAATCAAAGGTATGGTCTTATCTTTCATTTCTCCACTGTAGGTACCAAACTGTGCAATTACCATAACCTTCTTGTTACCACTCAGTAGAAATGCTTCTAGTCGATGCTTCTGACCAAGCTTGATTTGTTGTATGACTTTGCCGCTTTGAATATTCCAAACCTTGAGATGACGTCGACCTCTTGTAAAAGACACCATCCTATCTTTATCCAAGAACTCCATCATGTACATTCTCTTGCAAGCTTTTCCTTCGAGTTGCCGGACCATTTTACCCTCAGCGAAATCAAGGAGTGCGTAATGATTCATTTTCTCGTTGTAAATA